AACCATATTGCTCCCCCCATGCTATTATTCTGTAAGGCTCAATTAAACAGTGGGGAGAACAATACAACATATCCCCAATAAAATGTGGCTCTTGTGGTTCATTGGACATTGTGCTATCATTGCACTATAGCAATCAGTCACCATTGGGTTATTCTGTGTAGTCAAGACAATCCAATTGTGAATTATTGCAATGCATACATGCAGCCTATGCCTAACATGATAAGCATAGGGCTCCCAAAATTGCCTCAACAAATAGTAGATTTGCTGGGAGATTTGGAAGGCAGTGTCTGGGGAGTGTGGACTTTGGTGAAAATATGATATTACTTCCAGATGAAAGCTTGGGCTACCTCAACCAGCCTTTAACATAGAGATTGGGAGAAATTCCTAGTGTCACTATGTGGAGGCCATTTTTTTCTCCTGATCCTCAGTTCCCCAGAGGAGGGAAATTAGGGCTGGGGCTGGTAATTTCCCACACTCAGCTGGTCACTGTGAGGCCTAGGTAAGTAGCAATTTTCTATTCACACATAACATTCTGTGCTCTTATAACAGGATAATTTTTTTTATTGTTTTTACTGATCACAGTAATTGTTGCCACATTTTTGCCACAGCAACAGAGTATCGAGACTCCCCACCCCCAACCTGGTCTCTGAGTGAGGTTGCCAGGTACCCATGGCAACTGGCAGTGGGTGGGTGAGAGGGCCTTGCTAGAAACAAATAGAGCCTTAGGCTGGTGTTGCCAGCAACAAGGTGAGGTCATTTCCAGTGTGCACCAGCAGTGACTGCCGTGGACCAGCCAAGCTCAGCGGAGCAAACAGATGCTGAAGACTCCTCTGAGGAGGAGGCAGCCAGTGGACCTGACTCCAACCCACAGCCAGTGGCAGAAGCATTGCAGGAGGAGGCAGTCTCTGAGGGGACCAGACATAGATCCTCAGCCAGGTACCAGCACACTGCCCCCCCAGCCCCCCAGCCCTGAGCTGGCAACAGACTCAGCTGCCAGTCAGTTCACACACACCCTGTCACCAGAGCTTCGGGAACATCGTAGGAGGAAGATGAGGAGAGGCCCTCAAGACAGAAGGCACAGTACCCACCTAGCAGTACAGCACCAGCCCAGCATTAACAGTGAGGATGAGTGCATGCAGGAGCAGGTCTGAGGCAGCCGGTGGGTGAATGACTCAGTACAGGCTGCTGAGCAGTGTGGAGCCCAAAAGCAGTAGAGAAGGGAGTGGCTGTGTGGAGGCAACTTGTCCGTTAATGACTGACCTTGCTGCCTGTGCTCTGGACTGACTTCTTCATCTCTGACCCTGGCCTGTATCTTTGTATCCTTGTTCTTGGATTTCCTTTCAGACTTGAAGCTGTGAGTGTTGCCTACCCTGCCTTGGAACTGTATTTCGACACCTGGCCCCGGAATGGCTTTACAAACTCTGATGCTTAGAAACTCCCTCTGTGTGCCAGCAATCAGGACAGTGATGCTATCATATTGCTGGCAATGTAGGGAAGCTCTGGTATTTGGGGAAAACTCTATGGTAGAAGTCATTTTTACCATAGAGTTTTTGCCAAAATACCAGAGCGTCCTTGGGTCGCCAGCAACCTGATGATGTCTCTCCCAGTGTTGCCACATTGCTGGTGATGCAGGACTAGGTGTTCTTTTGCTGCTGGTAAGTCCCTGGAGGCCAGCGGATTGGCACTGGGGGGAGGGGCCCTGGAGAGGGGGATTCCTGGAGCAAGGAAATGGCAAGCCTACCTCTGAGGCACTGTTATTTGTAGATGGGCCAAGACATTAACATTTAAATATGCCTAATACTTATTGCTTTGGTGTTATAATACAGATACTGAAAAGTACAAACATCAATATAAGCGGCTTTTGTGAAAATGGCCTTGAGAGACCTTAGAGTCTCTAGCAATAACAGACAATGAAATATGATTTTTAGAGTTAGCATCTCATAGTCCATGGAATGCATTGCATGGATAAAACCTATTTATGGGCCATCTGTCTGCCTGCCACTTTCTTAGATGGAGATGATTTCTGGTGCTACCATTCGGAAATCTTTCAGGCTGGCCTTGAAACCCATCTGATCTCACCTGCCTTCCCCTGGTTTAATATGCATCATGGTGGCTGATGCATTTCATTTCCATGGTGACTCTGTGACCTGACGCGTCTGGTGGATGGCATTCATAATAATAATTCTTGCCTCATCTATAGAGCTTTTTATTAAAGGACTTCAAAGTGATCTGCAACCACTAATTAAGTCTCACAAAGCTCTGCTGAGAGGGGTCAGACTTCTCTTCCCTTTAAAGATAGGGGAAGTAAAACAGGGGACAACTTGCCTCTTAAAGCAGACCAAGCTGAGTATAAGATCCACAAGTCTTTCCTGCCTTATCATCCTTGCTATATGATCCATCACTTCATCTTGAGAACCACAGTGAGAAACACAGAAATGAAGAGCTGGAAGGGACCTCAAGGGTCATCTAGTCCAACTCCTACACAATGCAGGAAAGTCACAGCTACCTCCCCACCCCCCAATTCCCCAGTGATCCTGCTTTATGACCAGAGGGAGGCATAAAACATCCTGGATCCCTGGGCCAATCTGGACTGGAGGAAAATTCCTTCCTAACCCCAAAGTGGTGATCAGCATTACCTTGGGCACTGGCTCATCCCTTCCTGCCCTTCTTCTTTCAATCTGCTTAAATTCATACTGAGTTACAAAATCAGCATTGCTGTTAGATGGCCATTTAGCCTCTGCTTGAACACCTCCAAAGAAGGAGAGCCCACCACTTCCCAAGGAAGCCTGTTCCACTGAGGAACAGCTCTAATTGTCAGAAAGTTCTTCTTAATTTTTAACCAAAAACTCTTTTGATTTAATTTCAACCCGTTGTTTCCAGTCCAACCTTCTGGGGCAACAGAAAACAACTCTGCTCCATCCAGGGCCGGCCTGAGGTTTTTTTGTGACCTAGGCGGGGGTACCTTCTGGCGCCCCCCCCCCAGCACACACCCAATTATGTGGTTGCCAACCTCCAGGTGGGCCTGGAGACAAGGAAGTCCCCCCCTTAAAAAAATAAATGGCAAGCCAGGGACTCAAGGGAGAAGCTGTTCAGTTCCCTTCTCTCCCCCCCAGCAAATTATAAACACACTCCTCTCTCCGTGCCATGAAAAGCTTGCTGCTGCCTCCTACTTGCCACCTCCCCCCCCTTAACACATGAGTTGTGTTTTTGGTTTAAGAAAAACGGGAGGGGGGAGGGGGGAGGGGGATCTTCGAGGGTCCATCTTTTACTTCTCCCCCCGTGTCACCGGTGTGGATGGGGAGGGTCCTGGAGGGGGGGTCGGAGGACAAGGAGGAGAATGGAAAGCCCCCCTCTCCTGCTGGACGCTCCGCCGCCACCTCTCCCCCCCTCCCTGTCTGGGCTCACCCTACCTGGTGAGGGTGACGCTCCGTCCCTGTTCGACCTTGTAGTTGGCCCGGCAGAAGGAGTCCACCTCGCCCAGCACGAAGTCCATCTAGGCCTTCCTGCTGTTCCAGAGACGGGCGGAGGGCTCGCCCAGCTCGGCGACGGCCTTGTACCATCCCCGGCGGCTGTCGTAGCGGGCGATCTCCTCCTGCCCTAGATGTACCTGTCCAGGAAGCCGACCTCCCCGCGTGTCATGCCTGACCGTGACACCGCGAGTCCCGTCAGTGAAGCAGCACTCGGCCTTGTGCTGGGCCAGGAAGTCGGTGGCTGCGGGGACAGACGGGGCGGGCGGGGGGGAGAGAAGGGAGTCACTCTGGCGGCCCTCCCTCCCTCCC